TGACATAAAATGTTGTTCCTTTTTAGTAAATAGGATTGTACATAATTCTTAGATTTGAATATTGGGTGCTACTGGATTTTTTGATTATCCATGGCAATTTCTGATAAAAAACAGATTTAAGCCTATGTGCAAAGAAAACTTGGTCATTGTATTTCAGTCACTCAGTTATATTGTTGTGTTTGGTTGCAGAAGAACAGCATTGTGCTGTTCCCTTCTTCCTAAATATATAGAATCTGGGCTTGAAATCATGGAAAGTGTGCTCTCAAGTCGGGTTTTGCCAGGCACTGGCATTTTCTCGGTCATTAGAGTAACCAGAATACTTCTGTTTGCATGGTACTCTTTACAGCAGCAGCTTACAAGGTCAGAACCACACTGAAGCCAGTAGACCTTGTGTTTGCATACAGTAAGTTGTTTAATCTCTTGGCAGCGTTGGTAGATTTTGTGTCCCCTTTGCTAGATAGTATTTACAAAACAGGTACAGTTTAAATACTTGTACTGCTCTTGTATTGCTCTGCAAGAGCTGCAGGGGTGCTGTAATACGTAGATGTTTAGAGACCTGAATTGACTGTACTGCAAATAACATCAGTACTGGTGAAGAAAAATGCAAGAGTGTGATGGCAGCAAAACTTTCTTATAAACTTTTTTTTTCTGTAGACCATTTTAGTGTAAGAAGAATGAAAAATGTGTTATGTAAGGAATCTCAAATTGAGAGTCGTGAGTTTCATACAACTATTCAAGGCATCCAGCATATATACAGAATATTCTGACAAATCTCATTAGATTGGTACAGCCATCTGGACAACTCCAATGGCAATTTGCTGGCATAAGCAGTGACTGAATTTGCAGGTTTCTGTGTTTCAGTCTGGAATAACACTTGAGCACACTAGGACTTATGCCATTATCCACTCCAGATAGATAGTACAGCTGCATTGGGAATTCTGTTGCAAGGTTGTATGTTTTCTCTTGTTGCTGCACTTATCATTCCAGTGGCTCCTGGTTTCAGAACTCATTTAAAATCTGAGCCAGTTGGAGGATTTTAGTGTCACTCCTGACCATGCCCTTCCCACGGGAAGCCAAGAGTAGGATGTTGGGGGTATGAAGTGTTTTTTCCAGTTGCACAACTCATGCTGGCTGCACCTTTATTTATCATGGTGATGGCCTCACAACAGAAACACACGTCCTGGTCCCAAGAGATGTGAACACTGCCGTTCCTCCTGAGCGTATCTCCCAGCACAGCTCTGCTCTCCCTCTCACAGCTAGGCCAAAAACCAGCAATGCTTTTTTCTGGCATTTGACTGAATGTGATGACTCTTCCCTCAGCACCTCCTGAAATGGTGGATTGGGTTTGATTCCTGGTGGTATTTCAGGCTACCTGAAATGTAGAGCAGGACTGTTGTCAGAATTTCTGAGCTGCTCAAGGGAAGTTTTTGTTGCATTTTTGTGCTCCCTCCTTTTTGTTCATTCCTTCTCTTAAATGTAAATTAAGTGTGTGATCACAGCTGGGATTGCTGCAGTGCTGATAGTCAGTCCTGCTTCTTCCTGAGAATTGCTTGATACTGTGTTGCTTCTCGTTATTTTCAAGTTTATGTTCAAAGAACTTCTTGTAAATTTCTCCTGTCCTCATCTGAGGAAACTTCACTTTGTTTTAATGCAGAAACCTGAGTTGGTTTTTCTTCAATACTTAAACCAGGCAGGATGATGACTAACACTTGAATTCGTTTATTGGTCCTTTCTCTTTGTGCAGCTTAGTTTTAAATGGGAACTCTGAGCTTTTCCAGTAACATGTTTATTAATATAACAAGCAAGAACTGTATAAGATAGAAGGCAAATAGAACAAAAAATGGCTTTTGTTGTTGTCCTGACTGGCTGTCCTATGGAAAAGGAGTTAAAGCCTTCAAAGGGAATCTATGAATCTGTCCTTTGTAGAGTTATGGTGAGAGTTTTCCAGCGCTCTATTCCATTCCTCACCCTTGCTGCAGTGTCCCCAGGCATGCCTGAGCTTCTCCTGAAGTCTTTCAGAACCTGTTTGTCCAGGCTGGAAACACAGAATGCCTTGCAGAAAACAGAACTGCTTCGGCCAAAAGCCTGGCAGTGGGGGCATGGGATCTGCATGCACTGGTTATTGGTTGGATCCCCACTAAAACCAGACCCAAACCACTGGCAGCATCTACCTGGACCCCAGGCCTCATTAGTCTTTCGCCATGGTGCTGTGGTGTCATTCCCCAGTGATGGGAGTTTCAGAGTACATGGATTGTTCATCTTTATGGACACATGACAGTGGGAAGAAACAAGAAAGCAGTGATGTTAAAGATGTGGTGATACAAACTGGCAAATGTAAGCAACTGTTTACGGAGTTAACTATTAATTAAGTGTTGACGGTGACAATGTAGATCAGGAAGAGGAGTTGTGATGAGAGCACCTTTCCTAAACTTGATCTCTGCCTCAGAGCTACTGATGGTGGGAAAAACAAGGACCCTGCATTTTGTACCTTTACTGAGGGCTGCTCTAGTGTGATTGCATGGTGAAGGGGCTTTTCTCTGGGGTTAGACCTGACTACAGGGTTAAAAAAGCCTGGAACACAGGACCAGCTTGAAATGCTAACTTTCCACGGTAGCAGCACAGGCTGAATCTGTAAGAACACATGAGAAATTATGGGAGTATAGTATATGCTGTGACTCTTAGAGGGGTCAGGATTTCTATTAAAAAATGACCCAACAAACAAACCAAAAAACCCTGAAGTATTGCCAGAAGTTTTACTTCAGTTGCGAATCAAGTGGTTTGATAAAGCATTTGATAAAAGTTTGATGGCTTTGGTTTTGGGCTGCTTCTCTTGTATTTCTTACCAAGGCTTAAGTTGCAGTGGCAGATTTCTCAGATTGCTGCAATGGTTCAAAACAAGGGCAGCCTCACGGGTCTGAACATGAAGAGAAGGGAGGGAAGCCTGTGGCTCTTGGAGGGTGTGGGGAGTGGGACACTGTCTGTGTTGAATCTTTGGGAATGATTTATCACTGTGGATTCCTCCAAAAGACTGGAGGTCTTATCCCCAAATGGAGCAGTTCCAAACATTGCAAACCCCAAAAATACCACGAGAGGAGCTGACAAGTAACCCCTTCGGGCAGCTCTGTACACCCAGCTGGAGTGGAGCGAGTTTGGCTGACAACCTTCTCACTTTAGGGCACCTGTAGGTGGTCCAGCCAGCTCCAAAACCCTTCCCAGGCACCGACCCTTCCCGCAGAGCTGCTGGAAGTGAGAGAATCTCCTTTTTATAGCGGTGGGGGCCATGCCTGTGGTGGGGTGGGTGGCTGTGAGCACTCGGGTTTCTCGTCAGGGAGACTGTGCCAAGCAGCTGGTGCAGCCAGGGCAGAATGCACGGAGTCAGCGCCGAGCACCAAGGTGCTTCTTCCGACTGTCGAATCATCAGTTTCCCTCCCTGCCTCTTGGCTCTGCCCTGGCATTGTTGCTAGCTGAGCACACCTCACATTTATTTTCCTGCAAATGCAGTTTGCTGACGTAACTGCACGTCCCTGCGGACCCTGGGAGTGCTGTGAGCTCGGGGCTGTGCTGCTGGGAGGTGACCCAGCACATGTTGGTCGGTGCGTGGGGTTGTGAAAGCCCCTGGACAGCCTGAGCTGGGCAGAGCAATGAGGTTTCCCGGTAGGGTGAATTGAAAGTGACTCATCTGTCGGCACTGGATCCTGGTGCAGACCTTGGCATGAGATCATCCTTGTTCTGCAGCTGGAAAAGTCAGCTTCAGATTGTTTCTCCCTGCGAAGTTTCTAGGCCTGGCTCTCCTCTGTGCCTCTTTCAGAATTCTTCCTTTGTGGAGACTTTTTTTGTTTTAACTGAGTAAAAGTCTGGGGCTCAGACTTTGAACTTGTTCCTTTCAGTGCTTTTTGTCTTCATTAGCTTACCTAAATAACAGACTTTATTCTCTGCAGTTTCATTGCTCACAGGAATTCTCAGAAATTACTTTTTAAGGGGATATTGTCATATGGGAGGAACACTGAAAATCTGGTTGATAAAATGGTCGATTCCTAATAAATTAATATATTAATGTGTCTAGAAGCAACATGAAATATTTTTGCAGCTTAAACACCTCTTTAAAAATAGGGTTTCCAACACTTGCACCATATGTCCCCTTATTAAATTCTCCTCTTACTGAATAATGACATTACCCTCTGAATGACAGAGGTGCTTGTTACATGATCTGACTTAGAGATACATCTGGAACTTGGCCCTCGCGGGGTCTCAAAATAGAACGACCGATGCAGGAAGAACTTACTAGAGGACTTGTGAAGGCTCTTAGTACAAACCACTTCCACCCTTGCCAGAGCTTTGACATTGTCCAGTGAGTGTACTCAGACCACACAGGGATTTTTTTCAGCTTGCTTTTCAGTGTTTTCTCCTTCCTTATGCTATCCTGTCTTTCCCCTTTCCCTCAATACTTACTGAACTGGATCCTCCCCTAGCTGAAAGCAAATATATTCTTCAGTGTGCGGCATCAGTATCTCTTCAGATAGCCAGTGGGAAGAGCAACACCAACAAACATTGTGCTTCTGGTGGGATTAGTCTTCCTTGAAAGTGTGTTTGCAGATGTTATCTATAGCAGGGATGTGTTGGGAGAGGTGCTAAGGAAATGCCTCGTCCCATGGGTGCTTGCTGGAATTGGATGAGCTCCATCTGAGGGGGGTGGGCTGGCAGCTAGATGCAAGTGATGCATGCTAAATGAGAAATCCTGTTGTAATTAGGCAGGTATGTTAAAGCCCAAGTTGGTATTTATGAGAAGCAGGGGAGGTGAAAGCCTGAAACATAAGCAGATTTTTTTAGCTTCCTCTCTTCCCTTGCCTGGAATGTTAGCACCTGCTGTTAGCTGCCCCGCGCAGACCTGAGAAGGTCTAAACTCCTCATACACAGCTGATGCTGCTTTCAGCACAGATCTTTAGGGCAGCTTTTTCTTATTGAGCTACCAACATGTGTTCTGTGATGTTCTTGATTTCCAGGAATCCTCAGCGAATGGTCCATCTCGCGACAGCCCCAAGCAGCTGCCAGCAAGAGATGGAAACGTGGGATACCCCAAACTCCGAGCTGGCTATATCCCTATTCCTGTCATCCACGAGGGCATGGATGGCAGGCAGCAGCACCCCTGCTTCTCTGCCCCACAGCCCGCGGCGCAGCGATACAAGACAGAAGCTGTGCCCACCACGGGACAGGCACAGCCACCACTCAGAGGGGCCTATGCTGGCCCCGAGTCCCCTCCAAGGGCACCAACAGAGGCTGCTCCGACGGATAAACAATGTGGACAGGCAACAGCAGCTGCAGCAGCCCAAGCGTCGGCCGCACACGGACCCGAGGTAACCGTCAGCATTGCTGGGCTCTGTTTGCAGGGAGCTTTGCAGCAGTTGTGACCTGAATGTCTCATAGGCAGTTGATCCTTCAGAAAGCCAAACTTGCCATGGGATTCCATTTTCCCAGTACTTTCAGAGTGGTAAACTCCAAAAGTACTCAGTCACGGCAGCATGGATGGGTTAAGGTTTTTCTAGCATCACATGCTTTGGTTCTGGGATGAGTCTGTGGAGAGAAATGCGTGTAAAAATGCAAAAAGGGCCCTCTGAGCTGAGCAGGTCCTGCTGCAGGGGAGGGTGGTGTCAGGGTTTACACAGGTTCCCCCACAAGTGGTGGGTGCAGGCAAGTCCCTTGTGTTCTGCACCATGAGTCAGAAACTGAAGTGAACAAAGTAGGAGAGACAAATAAGTGTCCAGTCAGCTAACAACCCAGGCCACTTCACAAGTTCTTTGCCTCCTAATTTAATATTTCAGTTGTATAAAGTGTATGGATTTACATAATATGCAGATTTAAAAGTGAATTATAAAATACTTCTGTCTTTCAGTGGCATGTGAAAATAGTTTCAAAGTATGAACTTCTTAGAACAAAGTCACCCTGCTTGGTTTGTGTTTCAGAAGGAAAGTTAGGGTTTTGGTTGGCCTGTTCTCCTGTAGAGAATTAGCAAACTGGTATTCCTGTAATACATGGAAAGATCAACCTCAATTTTATTCAAAGTGAGATGAGCAGGAAATTCAGCTTTCACCAAGCTGAAAACATATCAGGTCTGTAATTCAGCAGTGGTGGCTTCTTCTCTGAAACCTGTTTGGAGTCTGCACAATATAATTACAATCCTGTTGGCAGATTTCTTGGCTGTCCTGACTAATGATGCCTTGTCCATGCAGTCCCAGGACAAGAGACTCAGCTTTTCCTTCTTCCAACACTGTATAGCTTTGTCTTGCCTGCAGGGTGACTTCAGCAATGTGTCTTCTGTGCCGCTTTCTGCATTCCTCAGACATAGCTAGAGAGGACCTGCTGTTACAGACTTGGGCAGTGCAGTGTGGGGATTGACTGACCAGAGCCTGTGCTGGTGACTTTAAACTGCACATCAGCAAGGCCACCAGTAGTGCCAGTGATGGGTGCTGTAATACAAACCAGCATTTATTTATTTTAGGTTGCTGTTTCATGGGCAGCTGAGCAGTTTGCTAGCACCAAAAGAGAGGTCTTGTTCCTGCCTTGCCTGCTCTTCTCTTGCTTTCTGGCTGTTGTTCTACTCTCTCCTCTGCCAACTCCAGTCTGTCCTGGCCTGTCACTGTGCTGTGTAATGTACCCATCAGGAAATCAGCTCCTGCAGCTGGTGTAGAGTAGGTGAGGCTATGGACTGGTGTAGCAGGAGGTAGGAGGCAGCTGGGAGCAAACAACTTGCCTTTCCCTGGGCTCCAGACCCAGAATCTGGAACATGCTGAGAACTGGATTCTGCAGCAAGCCCAGCCCAGTGCTTGTTTCTAACAGCAGGTCTGAGCTAGTGCAGCTCTTGCTGCTGGTGCCAAGGGGTTAAGGTGCTGGAAGGGCCCGAAGGTGTGGGAAAGGTGTTTTTAGTCATACCTGCATTGCCATAGCCTGCCACAAATTAATTACATGCTTTAAGAAAACCCCAACAATACAAACAAAATCTGTTAGTGTGGCTGGGATCAGAAGTCTAAGTGTTGTGTGCCTGTTAGGGGTTTGATTTTTGTCTCCAGCATGTAATTTGTTTGCTTAGCTTCAGTTTACCTCAAATTTAACAGGTTTAGACAGGAACAGCCATGCAAAAGCAGTGAAGATTCTGACTGAGCATCCACTCCCTGCTCATTTGAGGGCTGGGAATGCTGTAGCTCAGGTTTCTACTTGTTATAAAGATGCTCTCACAACTTCTGTGGTTTGTCTAATGAAGCCCTTGGCCAAAAAAACAGGGAAATGTGGAGCATGCCGGAAACAGGAGTTCAGTTTCTATGATAACTGCCTCCTTTTCTCTTAGGAAATGAAAAGTACTGTGAGCACAAAATGGTTAAAATTTAATAATGGGTTTTGTTTTCAATGCAGCCTCAACCTCCTGGAGATTCTCCAACAGTGTCCCCTCAGTCCTCTGGCAGACCCAATGCAGGAAGCCATCAGCTTCCTCGTGGTTATATTCCAATTCCTGTGATCCACGAAAATATCCCACGCCAACCAACCCAAGCCTACCACCAGGCACAGAAGACACACTACCCTGCCCAGCAGGGTGAATTCCAAGCCCACCAACCAGTGTTTCACAAAATCCAACCAGATGAGAGGGAGCCCAAGCCAACACGAGCGCAGTCTCCGTTCAGAATGGCTCAGAGAGGCTCATCGAGTCGTGAGAGTTCACCAGCCAGAGTCACCACCCAGATACAGCCCCCAGCTCCCATCAGAGTGCAGACAGTTGTAGACAGACCCCAGGTATGTAGAATGGGGAAGTTCATCACCTGCCCGGGACTCTGTTAGTGTGGCAAGAGTGAGAAATTGGCTTGTACTAACACATACATGAAAGCATGTAAAGCAGCTTCCATTTCTAGATTTAAGCTGGAAGATGCTAAGATAATATTAGCAGTGAGTTGCCTCTCCACCTATCAGGGCTGTGGAGTGTTTGGATCACTGAAATATGATTTAACACCTGATTTCATCTTCTCTCGTCAGAGTATAATTGGGTGTAATTACACTGAGGTCACTGATGTTGCATGATGTTTATGAGAAGAAATTCAGGTCCATGGGATTTGTGACATCTATGTAAATACACTTCAGTGATGTCTCAGAACCATTTAGGGATAGCATCAGATGCACCAAGTAATTTTAGCTATGAAGAAAGAGGATCAGCAAAGTCTAGTCTTGGAGCTTTTTATTCTTCTTGCTTGAAGCATGTTCTTGCTCACAGAACCTGTTGCTCATTGAACTTTTTTTTTCCATCTTCTTAGTAAAACTGCAGTTAAAAGGCTACTGGGAATTAGACAACTGTGAGTGTGTGGAAGGGGTTATGTACAGAAAGAAACCTTGATTTCCTCTCTGGAGAGATTTCACATAAAAAATGACAGGAGCAGAATTAGGTTAATATTGTTGAAATCCCAGGTATCAGAACAAAACCAGGAAGACTTCAGTTTTAATGGCATGTAGGTCATAGTGCTAATTTATTTTTATGAGTGAGAATTTGCACTCTCAAGTCAAAGTCTATGTTCAAGGGGTAAAGCAGTAACAGTTGTCAGTGCAGGTCATTTACTTACTTGCTTTAAATAAAATACAGATATTTTACGTCAGCTGTCTAAATCCATGAGAGCTGCGTCTAGTATCTTCCAAAATCTGTGTATGTGGACAAATGAGTAAATGGGGTGTGAGGGGAAGGAAAACAAATCTCACAAATTTCAATTTTCTGCTGCGATTTCAAAACTGATCTCAATTTCAAGAGATTTCTGATTTGGTGACTTAGATCTGGGGTAATCCCAGGGATTGGCTCTAATCGCTGCAGTGTAATAAGATTGACACAGTAACCTCTGCATGTCAACACTCTAAAGATAAAATGAGTAAAAATAAGTGCTAGCAAAAAAAAAAAGCAATGTCCTGAAATCAGAAACAGGATGAGAATGGCCCAAAATGTGATTAAAACTCAGGAAAGTAGTTGTCTCTTCAGGAAAGATGGACTGTCAAACAGTGACCCAGAGGATGAGGTCTGGATTGTGCTGCTGTCAGCTGCAGCAAATCTGACTGATTAAGTCAGGTGAAGGCTTTGCTCTCAAGTCCTGCCTTATAAAACTGCTGGGTTTAGTGAGCACAGACAGGATTTAGTGGGTTGAAGTTCAATGTCTGTGAGAGTTGATTGGTGCTTGTAGTCTGAAACTTGAAAATAGTAGCTGTTCAGCACAGTGCTGGTTTTGAGTTTAAAACAGTAAAATCCAGCAGTGCACAGGAAAGACTAGTTATCTAGCGTGTGCCAAAATTGCACTGCTGGAAGTACAGAAAATTGGATGTTAGATTGCTTGTTCTTTAGAAGGAAATAAGGAGCATTGTGTCTCAACACAAAACTTGCCTTGCTCACCAGGTTTCTCAGCAACAAGTCCCCCCTCAAGAGCCACCAAGACCACCCCCTCCACCTGAAATGAAGCCTGAGAACAAGGCAGCCCCACCACCCGAAACGGAGGCACCGTCAGCATATGTCCCAATTCAGGTCACCCACCAAGAACCAGATCCTAAACAGCCACCCCAGAAGCCTCCAGCCATGGCAGAGAAAGCTGATAAAAGGGTTCCCTGCACAGCTAAGGTGGTTCCCCCCCAGGAAAGACCTCCTCCTGAAGAAGCAGCACCACAGAAGACAGTGGAAACAGGAGAACCTCAAAAGCATCCTGGTGTTTTGAAAGTGGAAGCAATTCTGGAGAAAGTACAAATGCTTGAGCAGGCAGTCAACACCTTTGAAGGCAAGAAAACTGACAAAAAATACTTGATGATTGAAGAGTATTTGACCAAAGAGTTGCTAGCCCTAGACTCAGTGGACCCTGAGGGTCGTCCGGATGTGCGTCAAGCCAGGAGAGATGGCGTAAGGAAGGTCCAGACCATTTTGGAGAAACTTGAACAGAAAGCAGAAGATGTCCCAGAACCTGTTCAAGTTGATGGACTTCAGCCAGAGCCTAAGCCACCACAGGAAATCATGGAGATTGAACCTGTGGTAGTCAAGAGCAAAGGAGATACCAGTAACAAAAATGTTCAAGAGGAAACCAAAGTGGAAAGACATCAGCCTGAAACCAAGGAAGAAGTGTTTACCAATCTTGCTACTACGACAAACACATCTAATAACCCAACCGAACCATAGCTACGTGCTGAAATTAAAATCCTCTCAGACTTTATAACTTAAAGTGTGTTTAAGTGAATTTTAAGTTGCATGCATTTCCAGAGCTCTTTTCAACTGGTTTTAATCAACATAGCAGCTTGGGACACAGTAAACACTTTGTGGGGAAAGGAGGGAGCTAGAAAGAAAGTAATGCATTTATCCTTTATTCTTACACTATGTAAAAGACATGTTTCAAAAATAAACCCTGTACATTAATTGCTTTTAGAGCAGCTGAGTGGGAAAAAATACTTCAGGGTTAATATTGATGCGTGTTGTTTAGGGTGTATTCTTTTGCAGGTGATTTTTGTAAAATCAGAGGCCTGCACTGCCAGAATACCAGTCCTTCTACAAGTATAGCCACTCTTTGACTGTAATGTTTTTATTTTTAATGTTCACAGTTGGGCACTTTAAGTAATGATGGATAGAAAGTGTGTAAGAAACTGTAGGGATATTTATATGTGTGCAGGACTTCGATGCTATATTTTAAGAGGGAAATAAAATAATACAGAAGCCTAATTTAGTCTTGTGGTTTTATAAGCTGGAAATGTAAAGGCAGGAATTGGTTTCACTCTTCTAAACACAGAGATTTCTGTTAGTACAGTGTTGTGGTTGATGTCTGACAGCTGCTTTCTCAGCAAGACCTTTCTCCATTCACTTCCTCCCTTCTAATGTTGTTGCTGTATCACATCTATGGGTTGAGGAAGGAATTTGGCTTAGCATTCCCCTCCTTCCCAAGGACTCAACATTTAACAGCAATGTTTGTAACATTAAGTTCTGTATCAGCTGCTGTTGTCTTACAGAAATTTACAGAATCTTAACTTCTTCTGCAACATCCTTAGCCTTTTATTAACAACTACTTCTGAATTTCCAATTAAATACACTTGGTATTCATAGAGCCAATATGATTCCTCTCAGTTTCGTCAACAGTTTGAGCCATACTTTGTTCCAAGTGATTAGCAACTTACACCAAAGCAAGGGACACAAAACATTTCAGCTGCCTCCATGTAAAATTAAAGCAGCAGAGTCAGACCAGTGCAGAATGAGTGCAGGGGAGGAAGGACTCCTAACAAACTCCACAGGTTACCTTTGACTTTCATTTCTAAAATTAACAAATCTTTTTTTACCTGATTAGCAAGTTCGCAGCATAGGAGGAAAACTTCAATATAGCTGCTCAAGGCAATTGATTACTTTCTGAACGACTCTGAATCATGAGAGCACATTGGAAATTGGGTTTAAATCCACCTGAAAATCTGGTTTTTAAGTGGCAGGTTGAGAGTGGTGATTGGGAACTGTCACTATTTTAAAATAACAGCATGTAAATTGTACTGCAACATGTGTTTTGAAATAACAGTTGGGCTGTGAACTGTCTGCTCAGTTGGAGGTAGAAGGCTGATGCTTCTTTTAGTTTCATTTTGCTAGTCAACACCACCATGTAAGAATACACAATGTCTTGTAACCTTTTGGCTCCTCCAGCTTTGGGAGCAGCATTGTAGGCATTCTAGCAGAAGAGGTGTGAAAGTTCATCTGCCCTGCATAATTCTTGTATGAGCTCACTTCAGTGACACGTTGCTCTTGCATGATTATATTTCAGTTGAGGACACACATCTCTGACATCAGGTAACAAAAATACTTAAATGGAGGAAAATCAGCTATGGGTTTTTAGGACTGAACTCTCTAAGCAAAGTCTACGGGAGGTATGAGGTTCTGTTTCTTCATGGTTTGTCTTCGTAGGCCACTAAAATAATCCAGATCAAAGCCACCTCAGTAGCTAAAGTGGCACTGTGGAAATTAAGATTGTAGTCTTGAAAATGTACCATTTACAGGAAGTTAAACAGGTGCTATCTTTGTAAAACAAGTCATCTGCTGCTAGTGGAGCCTGAATTCATGTGCTATCATTCAGTGTTGGTCAGAGTAGGCGAAGTCAAATTTAATTGCAACTGATGGGAGACTTTTTAAGAAGCAAAGCTAGAGGTGGAGTTACACTTTGCTGAGTGGTACTTCAAAAGTTGGTTATTAAAGTCAGTGGTACTACTGCAGAAGTAGGTACAACTCAGAATGAAGTGAGGTTTTGTGATCTAACCTAATAAGGGAAAGTACACTTGGCTGCCCTGGAGCTGCCTAGCTGGAGACTGTTGCTCTGAGTCATCGTCTCTCTTTGTTTCCTCTGTTGCTCAAGACTAAACTGCACCCAGTCCAGCATATATGTCTTGACACATCAGCATAACTACAGATTCTGCATATGGGCTGGGAGGAGGGAGTAGCCAAGGAGGAAGCAGCTGAAGATTCCCACCCATTCCCTGTAGGCTTCTGACCTCCTCTGTGCAGAGCCTGCTTGGTTCCTTGCATTGGTACCAGCGATGTGGGGAGCAGGCAGAGGAGAGGAAGAAGATTCTCCTTTAACTTGCTTTGCTGCAGTATGGTGCTGTCTGCTCTGTGGCTTGACCCTGGGTAACTAACTAAAAACTTGGCTGTGAAACTCAGGGAGTAAGTAATTCAGGTTTTAATGCTTGTGATAAGAATTGTGTTACATCACTTTGCTTTTCAAATACAGCTGTGCACAACAAGCAGCAAAGGTGCTGCTGAGTGCAGGGGGTTCAAATACACATGTACATTTGCAGTAGCCATTTGAAAAAATGAAAATACCCCCAAAGATTTTTCAGTAAGAAAAAAATAAAGCTACCTCTTACTCATTTGAATAAATGTCAAGCATTTAATTTATTCAAGAAGCAAATAAATCCCAAGTCAGTGAAAGGCACTGTTTCAGCTCATTGAACAGTAGCAAGAGGGATATGAAAAGCCTGTACAGGGAATCACAGTAAAAGCTTAGGCTATTTTCTGATTGCACTATCTTGTCCAGCTAGTGATATTTTAAATGCCAGTAGTAGCCTGTTCTCTATATTTAAACTATCACAGCAGCAGGGCATTGTGTTTCCTATAAATATAGCATTTTGCCTATTTAATTACACACAGCCAAAGCATACCATGCCCTGAGGAAGGGGCAGCAGATCGTTGCATTGCCCCCAGAAGCATTCTGAGACAGACTGTGGCACTCCCTGGTGTCCAATTCCTCCCTTTCACCAGTGGGAGGTACAAGCCCTTTATCTGGGCTATGTTTAATCTCCAACTTTCTGTTAGCTCAGTTGTGTTTGCAGACAAGTTGGGGAAGGAAAGGAGTACAAATCCAACTCCACCCAGAAGGCAGGAAAGCAGCACAGCAGTTTGTAGGGGCAGGTCATGCCCCTGCACTGCAGCAGCGATGTAAGGCAGCCCAGGAAAGCCTTAGTCTTAGTATCCTCAGTGAGTACACTTTGTGGCACACTTTTAAACGATACTTGAATGAATAATAAACAAAAAAAGCTTCTGCTGGCTGGCATAGAGCTGCTGGAGAGGGCAAATGTCAATCCAGGTGTGCTTATGGGAAGATTTTAATTTTCTAGGTTTTCAGCCATCCTCCTTCGATGTGCATGGATTGATGCTTTAAAATACATAGGTAACCAAGTAGAAGGCTCTACTGCATCATGGACTTAATTAAGATATGCACAAATGAGGGCAAAATGGGCTGAGACTCAAGGACCACCTATGGGCAGTGGTTTCTGTGCTTTTGGTCCTCTTGTGTCCAAGCAATAAACTGCAGGTGTCTTAGTAAACAAATTTCAATGCTGTAAATGTTTAATATCATATAAATCTTTGGGTTTGTTGCAAAAGCTAATATTGATCAGTAACACAAACAAATCAGCTCTTTTGGGCCACCTGCTTAAAGGAGGCCTTTAGAATAAACTAATCTGAGCTCAGCACTAGCTGTGGAATTGAAGCCAGAAGTTAACCATAAAAAATACAATTTCCTGGAGCCTTAACAGAAATACTGAAACTCAAAATCTAAATTTATCTGTATATATATAGTCTACCATTAATGAAATACGAACACAGTCATTTCAGCAATGGATACAATGATTTTATTAGCACTTTCACCTATTTATGTGTTAGAAATATTATAATGCTACCGGAGAACCGAATGAAGGAGTGTGTTTATTTTTCTCTTAAGGTAAAGCATTTGCTTGAAGACAAATGGGTGACACTAAGATGCATGAGTCTCTCTGCACCAAGAAACCATTTACACTGGATAATTTGGATTTCCTAGCTCTACACAAACAACACATCCACAGTATTGCACATGGCATGAATCTATGCTCCCGTGAACCACGAGGTGAACGTGGACAGTGTGTCCACGCTGTGTAATCCTAGAGACCAATGTAATTGTATGCCAACCCCTGCAATCCAAGGCAAGAGTTATTTTAAGATGGGCAAGAAGCTGGTTACAAAGCAGTGGAACATACCAATTCTCAGTCAAATACCTTTCCAGAATTTAAATAAGTTATTTTAAAAGATAAAGAAGCTGATTCAGTTGTTTCCTATCAGAATTCCCACTGCTGTTCCCAGAAGGTGGAAATCTGTGCAGAAGGAAGGTCCAGTCTTTAGTTTCCATATGTTCCTGCACCAGCAAACTGCAGAAGCAGAGGACTCCACATTAAATTCCAGATTCTAAGAAGAAAAGTGCATTTGCCATGTATATTTTGGAAAATTATTCCAAAGGGCAGCACTGATCTGTACAGACACATTTCATGTTTGAGAATTAATTTATCTCTGGCTTTTTATATTTGACACCTATTCAAGGACTGTACAATGTTCTCTGACGTGTTCCACAGCAAACAGAGAAATCACTGGTAGAGTTTGCACTAATGGATAACGTTGTTGGAAGTCTTGGTAAACAGGCTGGAGGTAGAACAGGCATGAAAATAATGAGCTTCTCCTAATGAGACATGGTACCTTCTCTGGGAATGAGGTGAGCAGGCAAGAAAACTTCAAAGTATTAGTATTTCTATTGTATCTACTCAGTAGATACTCACTGTATTTCTGTGCCCCCTGACAGTGAACAGATGAGATTTTCAAAATCATCTACATGGGTTACTTGAAGCCTTGATTTATTGCTTTTCATCATTTGGTGAACTTGGAGTTCCCATCCATTTCTGTCTTGACAAGAAAGCTCAGCTCCTTCCATTTGCAGAAATGAGCAGTGTCTGGAATAATTCCCTTAAGTGTTTACCACAGGTTGGCAGGCAGATAATGTGTTTTCTGCAGCCCATATACATCTGTGGCAAAGAGAGGTCAGCAGTCTCTCTTTCCTCCCCAAGTGCAGAGCTCAGTGTAAAATCTGTTAGTAAGAGCTGTAACATTTAACCCAGTGAGAGATTTTCTATTTTATTTATATAAAAAATGAGATTAAACCAAGGAAAACCTAAAGCAGTGTTGCCCAGTGGCAAAAAATACATTGATTTTTACTTTGAAAGGATTGATAAAATGATAACACATACCCTTAGTTAGGCATTTCAATAAGTATTGGTGAGTACTTAGTCCCCAGGACCCTTCCTCAGCGTCACCATTAATGATGAGCTCTTGTCTTTGTGTGGAGACCTCATAACTACTTTTCAAGGAGCCTACAAGGAACCAGAGAGGGACTC